TGCGATAATTACAGAGACATAGCACTAATGGATACTATATACAAAGTTATGGCAATGCCATCAAGAATAGATTAATTGAGTAAATAGAGTAAGAAATAGATCAGTATCAGTGTCACTTCCGAGGTAACAGACCGACGATGGATCAGATTTTCATATTAAAACAAATTTTAGATAATAGCCTGGACCAGAAGTTTCCAATATATATGCTGTTTATTGATTTTAAAAAAGTCTGTGACACAGTTTGAGCGAAAAAATATATGAATCGATGGCGAAATTGGGAGTATCAAATAAAACGGATTATAAAGTATTAGCAGAAGCAAAAACAACAGAATAGTTCCGGGTAATGACTGGGTTAAGACAAGACGATCCGCTGTCGACATCATTATTTAACATACTATTGGAATCAGTGGTTCGGATAAGTAGTTTGAAAACTATTTAACCGAAGAACTCAAGTTCTTGATTACACAGAGAATCTAGTTTGAAAATTAATGAACTAAAAGCAAAATATATGGTACTAGGAGAAAAAGAGTTTAGTGGACAGAATAGGCACCTAAAGGTTATAAAAGAGAATAGCGAATAATATTTTCGAAAAATAGAGAAATTTAATTATTTGGGGGTAGGTATACCATCAGATAGTGAGGAAATGCATTAAATTCAAGAAAGGATAGCAAAAGACATGAAATATATTTGGGGATTACATCACATACTAAGAGCAAAGAGCGTGTCAAGGAGCCTCAAAAAAAGAGTGTACAAAACGATGATTAGGCCTGTTTAGGTCTTGTATGGATGTGTATAAGTATGGAAGCTCAACAAAAGGGAGACGGAAGCATTAGAAATATTTGGCGGCAATAAAGGAGAGAATCAGATGCTGAGCGGCGGGATAACTGGAAGAAGGTGTAGAGCTGGCCGCGGACAAAATGGATTCAAGCTGTTCAAAATGACCGGAAGGAAATGAAAGGGTCTTGTTGGCTCAATAGCTGATATATGTTACCGGCAAAGTCCGTTATGCAGTCATGCCTAGGTTTGCCTAGACAAGGTCTGCATTGCCGGGTCACTTTAGGTAAATTCCGAAATTGTTAGATATTTCGGACACTGTGGTACGACAACTTAGGTGTGCCAAATGTGTAGCAGGCAATTTCCGAAATAACTTGTCGCATTACTATCATACCGTCAATATTCATCGTTGCATAATTTTAATAATATTTTATTGTATCCTAAAGAACAATCACAAATGCACCTTGTATTGTTTATGTACTTACTACCAAAAAATAGGTATTCACCAAAAAAAGAGAAGTTTCTTTGGGTAGAATTAGGGCTCCTGCATTATATACTTTTTACGGACTACATATTATACAGGGACCCTGTCTGCAATCGGGATATCAGCTTATTTTAGAGTTTGCCTGCAACCCAACATTCTCGTACCACAGGGTAGGCAAAGTCCGAAATATGTAATAATTTCGTACTTTGCCTAAAGTTGAATGGCAATGAGGACTTTGCCTAGGCAAACCTAGGTGTTACTGCATAATGGACTTTGCCGGTAACATATACATATTGCCACGTACAGCACTCAGGGATAATCAACTTGATGTTATATCATGTGGTTACTAGCATGCGATATTAATTAGTTTCGGTTTTTAAATATGTAATGCATGCATTTCATTTTATGTATAAAATGTATGTAATTTGAAAAAAAAATTGTTGTTATTATAAGCTCAAAGCATCTTGCCTTGCACGTGCACAAATTCGGGAACACTCGGTCATTTGCTCGTAAAAACTAGGTTGGCAAGTCGCGATCGTGCCGCGAAGTGGCAAAACTTTCACAATTATCGCGGAAATAAAATTTACGCGCGAGATAATGAGCCGGGTACGATAAAATTTATGCTCTCGCGAAAGGAGATTACGAACACCTGTGGTCCACCGCGGGGACCTTATAAATCCCCTGCTCTTAATACGTGCGAGATAAAATTGCCGACACACTTCTTTCTAACGTCCTCTTCGAAGGGTCTCGACCATTCGGATTTTTAATATCCGTGCGATCATTCATGGCGACGCGTGCCCGAGCGAGACAGAAAATGCCAACTCAGAGATATAGGACAAACTGTTAGCAAGTCGATCGTGGTGTATCTACCGTATACAGAATGGCTCACTAATCCATAGGTTATTTTATCGACAATTTTTGCTGCATGCAATGAAGATTGATATTATATAAAGTATCTTCCAATACCCAACTTTCTCGTTACTTTCGAAAATCGTTGAAATCCAATTTTTTGAAAGTATCTCCGCTCGTATAAAAATTTTGTTTCTTTTATCGTGGGTACACCGTCGAAAAAAAATTTTTTTTTGTCTGTCCGTTCTCCATTCTTCCGTTCTCGACTTTCGGTTTTTTCTGAATACTTTTCGAACCGTTGGAGCTACAAAATTAATATTTGCCTCCTTTTTAACCCTCCACGAGACACATATAAGAAATGACCCTGATCCGACGCCGGTATCCATCTTTTTTTAACGATTTTCGACAGTCTTTTGGACATTGCTATGAAACACGATGTGTCCGAAATTTAAAGCAATCGACTTCATATTTGGCACATATACGCAGTTTTGCCCCGTGACGGAACCTATTGAAAATGGGGTGGATGGGGGGTCGCGAAGTATTTAAAAAAAAATAAAAATCGCGTGTGCGAGGGTCTACAAAAAACATCATTTTTTCAAAAAAAGGTTAACGAGACCCAAAAAATTGTTGAACCAGAAGACGCAGAAGATGCGACCCCATAAACTTTTGTTTTCACCTATAGTACAGGGTGTTCGCGATATTCCGTGCTAAATGTGTTAAGTATCTTAAATTTGCAGGTATCAACTTCAAATTTAGCAGAGAAGTAAAAGTCCGTGTGCACATTTGAACGATAGGAATTGGGTGCATTCAAATTTTACCAAGTATTTTTTAATAATTTTTGAAATATTTTTTTTTTTGGTAATTTTAGCTTCCAGAAAATATGTTTTTTTCGTTCATCCTATCGGCAAAAGTCTTTAACCAGCAGATGCGGAAGATCCAGTGCAATAACATTGATTTCAAGCATTTCGATTACATACAGAGTTTTGAAATTATAGGCAAAAATCTAAAAGAAAAAATTGTTCTTTTATAGAGTAAATTATTAGCCGCAAATCAAAAATCGTAAAAAATATGGCTAATTGGTTCAAACAATGTCATAGGCCGCAGCAAGAACTACAATTTTTGTATTCGGGGTTTTCTTGTATCACATTCGCTGCTCGGGATATTTGAATAAGTCCATATTGAAATCGCTATTTCAGGGGCTGTCAAGACGCGATGACGTCATTGATTATTACGGCGCGCTGCACGGTTTCAGAAAAAACTTATTTTCTCGAAAACGATTTACTATTTTCAAAAAATTCTTGGACCAGGAAACGTGTCGAGAGAGAGTTTCAGGTTTCGTCAATTATACAGGGCGCGAGATATTTGAAGAAATATCATTCGATAACGCTATTATTTGTACAAATTTGAATATTTAACAAAGTTTGCTGAAACTGCTGAAGTTCAGCGAGGCTTGAAACACACCTTATACAGCGTGTATATACAATAAAATTATATCGATTTTGAGAAAGTTCCATAGTGGTCCAGAGAAGCACGATAGAAAAACAATGCGTCCCTTTACCACACGAAACCGCGAAGCTGCTTCCTTATATAATAAAAAGCTATATTAACACCGCAGTTCTTAGTCGTTAGCATTGATTTAGCAATGATTGCTGTTTTTCTTTTTCAAAGAAACAAAAAACAACAAAAAATAATTCTATATTCACATACTATTTACAAAACTTCTGGATTCCTCCTGCATAGGTTGTTATTGAATTGAACTTGCTGACATTTCGCCAATCATCCTGTTGGTTTCTTTAGAGCTTACCGAAACTGAACCAAAGTTTCAGTTAAGCTCTGAACTGAAGTATTATGTTTCATTGTGTTAGTTCTTATTTAAATAACAAAAAAAGAATAACTTTTTTCAAATTTAAAATTTTGAACTCCCTGTTTGCGATAATCGATTGCCAAAATTGCCTTTGGTTAAATTCAGGTTATTTAAGTCGTAGACTCTTCTTTGATATATATAAAGTATATTTTAGTGCAAATATCTTGCCGGTGAGGTTTTATGAAAGCTCCACAGTTAAAAAGTCTTTACTATTGTTAAAAAAAGGCAACGAAAATGTAAGCACACAAATTAATTTGGAAATAGCTAAGTTTATATGTACAAACACAATTGTTGTCAATAAATCTTTTCTACTCACCTTGTATGTATATTTAAATTTACCGCCTAATGCTGTTATTTCAAAAGTAAATTCCATCAGAACTTATATACCAACAAAAAACTGTTGAGGGTGTGCACCTTTCTATCGTGCTTATGCGCGGGACCTCGTAAACTCCCCCGGACTGTTATCTCGGCCAGAGGGCCCCTCCGACACGTAGAAAAAGAACGGATTCATTCATAATTCAGTCGTCGAGATTTCGGCGCAGTGTTGTTTCTGCGATATTATCTTTTTCCCGACCATTGGGCTTGCCGCATGTTTTCTTTACGTTAGGGCGGCAGTTTTGACGTCTTGCGATTTTGGGGGTCTGCTTTGTTTTTTCAACGATGTTTTGTTGTACATTTACTATGAGATGTGGCAACCCAGCCTTTTACCTGTCATATCCTATACACGTTTAATAGGCTAGATGTCTGATTACCTCGAAGGTCATGTAGGATGGAGTACATTATCTTGTGACCATATTAATTGTGGTCAAGAGTAAAGTTGGAAAAATACAACCGAAAAACAATATTAAAGTTCTTACTTTAATCGCAAGTGACTTGCTCTTGGACTTCCATCGTCTTCATCCCTTTCTCTCTTATTAAGAAACGGATGGGAGCCCAATGTAAAGACAATAGAAGTTCAAGCAACCTTCCACTGTCGTCCGCCATCCGTATCGGTTTAGTTATCAATAAATAATTTTTGAATTGTTCCAGCGATGACTCCGCCCCCGGGGCAATACGGATCCCTGGCATCGCAACTGATCCGGACGCCCTGAAGGACGGCTGCTTGGGAGACGAGACGCCCGAGTCGCTAATGAAACGGTACCTCCTTTGTCCGGGCATGTGCAGAATCGACGTTCTGAAAAAGTTCGTCAGGAATAAGTACAGCGTAGATACCAGTCAATTTTACGTGAGTAACTAAATTTTTTTGTCGGTCCTTTTCTCCGTTCTCTGTAGACGCGGCATTAAATGGCCATAACTTTCGAACGGTTCGACCTAAAGGAAATTTGATTCTTTTTCAACAGTCAACGAGACACATAAGCCATTAAAAAATGGTCGCGCTCGAACCCAGCTGTCCATATATATTCTTTGTGGCCTTTAAACATTGTCCCGAAACAAAGTAAGTGTCCGAAATTTGAAGCTATCCGCTTGAAATTTAGCACACTTATAGAGTATGGATCCCATACGCAACCTATTGTTGTTAGGGGACTGGGGAGTTAGGAAACATTTGGAAGAAAATTATAAGCCCCATTTGCAAGAGTCCAAGAAAAAATATCTAGAAAACCTTTTGTGCGTTCGAAAAAATTCGCAAATAAAAAGATGCACGAAATTTGGAACACGAAGTTTCGTTCTTGATGGCTTTTTGAAAATGTACAGGGTGCGCGGATCGGTTATTCACAAAAAAAAAGAAAAATGGGTTCCTCTTTTAATGAGACTTGACTATAACGTTTCAGACAGTTTAGGCCGTATCGAGATCTAAAATGTTTGTATTCAAGGTTTTCGACTAAAATACAGGGCGTTCGAAATATTCCGGATTTGCCGTCATCGGCTTCAGATTTAAACTGAAGATGTTGGTAGAAGAATTTTTTTTTAAATTTTGAAATTATTCTTGGAGGGCCCGGGCTAACATTTTTTAATTTAAGCATTTTTTTCGAATATGTACAGGGTTCCTCTTTTAATGAAAATTGGACATAACTGTGACATTATGATTCAAATTACGATTTATTTCACATGGAAGTTTAGTAATAAGCAAATTTATTTCAACAGGTTTACACCCAATCACAGAAAATATATAAATAAGGGAAAAATATTGAAAATATGGTTTAAAATACTACGCCGTTATAAGCTCTGCGCATGAAGCAAAAAACAGGCAACAATCTCACGAAGTGTATCCGCATTAATATCACGTATGTCTGAAACAATTACCACAAATTAACAAAATTGGCGACTGATATAAAACGTTTGTCTTAGGGGTCGGGGGATGAAATGTAGGCCTAAGGCTTCAATTCTGGGGAAATACAGAACTTTCAGAGAATTAATGTCCCTCCTAAACTCCAAAGATGATTTCCCGAACCTGCCTAATAATTTCTGATGGTCAAGCCCTCTATGGGGATATATATTATTTTCTTTAAAAACTGAGTAATTTAAGGAATCGTCTCTAGATCAAGTGAAAAACAAAACATTAAAAATGGGGCAATTTGGTTTATATAGTTTTGTAGAGCGCGTCGAGGGCTGCTTGCACTTCCAGTTGTGGCCCATATTTAGCGTGCGATAGAAAAATACAGTTGCAAAATCGCCATTACTGTTACAATATGAATTATTTGCTAAAATTTGACATGACTGAAGGCACTTTTTACAGGGTGCCTGTACAGGGTTATTCATTATATTTTGACACGCATCTACAGGGTTAATTTTGAAAGATAGAAAAAAAGTGTAAATACAAAAGTTTGAAGATTTTTACTCTATTATCTTATGCAAATGCAATTATTAGCTTAAATCGCAAGATATTTTTTTCCTGATTTCAAAAACATATACTTTATTTATATTTCATTTAGCCGTTTTTGAGATATTTCAGTTTAAAAATAATTATCATTCGATTTCTGGACAATTGTTAAAAAATGGTCAAGTCTGCCTTGATAGGAATAATATTCTCTGTGTTTGCAATTGTTTTAACAATGTGCTGCTTTTGACAACTAATCCAAACTAAAGAGTTTGCAGCATAATGGGTTATACTGAGAAAGAAAAACGTCAAATAATAAAACTGTATTATTCAAACAATAAAAATATTAATAATTAATGCTAAACATTTTCCACAGAACCTCCATTATTTTTTATACATCGGACAATATTTCCTTTCAATTTCCTATTAATACACGAGGTGATAAAATCAGGGTTTTCTCTGTTTACATCTTGTAAAACGATATCAAGTCTTTCTCTTATCACTTGTTAACTTTCAGGCCTATTATAATAATAATTCCTTGTCTACCTATCCAAAGTCTATATTTATTATTTAGATAATCGGTAACCGGTTGAAGATTATGTGGAGGTGCGCCATCTTGATGCTAAATTTAATTTAAATGATTCCGAACTGTTTTATTTCTGTTTCAAGTAAATTTAAATATCGTTGGCCATATAATTGGTGCGATCACCATATTGTTCAACATACCACACCATATATAAACTGACGTCCGTTCTTGGATTTTCACTGCCTGCATTTTGTGTGGATTATTGGTGGACCAAAAATGTTTATTGTTCCGAACGAAGTCTCATCCGTAAATATTATTTTGTTTAGAAAATTTTCATCTTCTTGAGATGTTATATATTTCAGTGCAAAATTCGAGCCTCTGTTAATCGGTTAAATTTTGCACTGGAAGGAACTGATACAGGTCAAATTTCTGATATTTTAGCGTTCGTTGAATTTTACTGTATGCATTTCTGGATAATTTTTTAACGTCAGGTATGGAATATTCAGGATTTTCGAAAAAATAAAAAATATAAATATCAAGAAAGTAGAACTCAAAATCATGATGAAAGTAAAGTAATATGGTAAGGTCTTCATCAAAATTTGTTTTTATGGTATTCCGGGTGACACTACTTCGGTCCTCAAATTGTTCAATAACGTTTTTAATTGTATTTATTGAAGGAACTCTTCTACCCGGATATATTTGTCGATATTTTCTTTTACTAACAATTTGAAATATCTTAAGTTATTTAACTTACGCTGCTGATGTTTAGTTTTAATTATTTGTTAAAAATAGAACATTGTTAAAACAATTGCAAACATAGATAATATGGCTGCTATCAAGGCACACTTGACCATTTAAAAAAATGTGGCTATTGCCCAGAAATCGAACGATAATTATTTTAAAACTCTTTCAATAATGGCTAAATGAAATGTCAATAAACTATATGTTGCCGTCATTTTGACAGTTTGCGATCGTCGTTTGTTTTTTCTGACATTTGCACAAGATAATAGAGCAAAAATCTTCAAACTTTTGTATTTACACGTTTGTTTCCATCTTTCAGAATTAACCCCGTAGGTGGGTGTCAAAATATAATGAATAATTCGTGCATTTTTCGAAAGGAGGACGATATAGAAATAACGAATTCCATTAGAACAAGAAGGCTCGAAATGGTTTCTTTAAAATACGAAGCCGCGTAGCGCCTTTGAGTACTGCGTACAGCGTATCGTGAAGCTATTTTGCATTTGTATTGTACTTTATAGTGGATAGACGACTTTCACTCGTTTCGTTTGTTTCAGATCGATATATTGTACAAGAGGGTGCCGCTTCCGGATCACTATACCCTCATCGACATCGCCTACATCTATTCGTGGCAGCGGAACGAAACGATGAAGTTCTTCTTTCGCATAACGGACATAAACAAAGCGCCGAAAAGGTTCGATTACTTCGACGCGTCGCAAACAGTGCCGGAATTCCTACCGAAACCCCTGACGAGGTCTAGGAACAGTCCTCTCAAACGAAGATCCGCCACAGCGAAGGTGGGAGGCGGCATTCGGCCCGGCGCGGAGATGACCGTCACTGCCGCAGTGAAGGTGGAGGTGAAAAGTGAATGTGATATTGAGCGGAAGAAAATCAGTGACGATAACAATTGTGATAGCAACGCTAGTGAATCCGGTGAAAGTGCCACGATTAAAACCGAGCCGGACAATAAACCCACTACTGAAACAGACGATGTTAGCGATAAGAAGGCTATCGATAAGCCGGACAGCGTCGTTCCTAGCGAAACGAAGGACGAACCCGTTCCGACAACCGGCGACATAACGAAAGGGGACGTAAAACAACAACCGCTCGATAACACCTACACCAAAATCACCCTCAACCGTACTAACAACGTGGAAATAGTCACCAAAGTGCAGCCCGCGTCCGATAAGCAAAACCAGCAGAGCGCCGCGCGGCGTGTCGTCAAGCAGACGCTTACCAGACCCGCGAAGGGGCCCAACAAGGCGGGAAAAATTTCCATCCCGAAGCTGGTGCTGTCGAAGAAGTTGCCCAAACCGAAACTTGAAGCACCGGATATCGACGACGAGAAGTCGCGGTTCTTCAAGAGCATCGAGTTGACGGCCAAGGCCTCCACGCCACCTAATACGATCAAAAAGAGGAAAAGCAGCAGTCCGATCAAGGCGGATAAAGCCAAGAGACCGGTCAAGATCATCCTGCAGGAAAAACCGCGCGATAGCGGTTTGCAGTCGCTGATCGACAGCTGCAAAATCAACATACCGTCCTCCCTTTCGATTACGATTAAGGAGAGTTCGGAAGAGAACGCGAAGCCGCCGGTGGCGCCTCCGGTCAAGAACTACATCGAGATCTTAAAGCTGCCGGACGAGAATTCGTCCGGCTGCGACGAAAAGTCCGCCAAGCTGGACATGAGCAAGTTTTGCGACAGCGACAGCGAGCAAAAGGTCGACCAAGATTTGTCGGAGATCGCCAAGAGTTTGACGGAGAAGATTCCGATGTCGACGACCATCTCGCACATCGTGGGACCCAAGCAGCAGTTCCCCATACCGGTGAAGATGCCGCCCGTCCAGCCGGCCGCGGTGCCCGAGCTGAGCAAGGCATTGGAATCGACGAAGGACAGCAAGCCGCCGCAAACGTTCCAGAAGATATTCGAGGAGTCGATCAAGAAGGCACCGGAAGGCGACCAGATAGCGACCCCTAACGGCGGCAACAAAAGGAGCCTGGTGGAGATCGCGACGCGTCTGTTTAAGAAGAGCAAGACGGAGCCGACGAAGACGGCGACGGAGGCGTTGCCGAAAGTGGCGATCCCCAGGCTGCCGCACCAGAGGACGTTCAGGATGCAAGGCAGCGCGAAGCTGGTGCCGCAGACCGTGGCCAGTTTGCACTCGACCAGCCTGGGCATGAATTACACCGTGTCGGTGGGGCAAACGAGTCCGACGAAGACGTCCAAGGTGAACGGCACCGTGTCGCCGGCGAAAGCGGAGTCCGTGCCGAAGATTCCCGAGTGTAAAGCGTCGGCGTCGCCCCTAAACGAACCGAAAACGGTGAAGACCGAGTTCAAGGTGCCGACGCCGAGCCTTGGCTCGGCCAAGCTACCGGACAGTGTTTCTCCCAAGCACTCGCCGAAATCTTCGCCGGTAGTCAAGCACATGTACGCGCCGGTCAACCAAAAGTTGAACCGCTTCGCCAACATATCGCCGAAACTGCCGAATCCGCCCTCGAAATCTCCGAGTCCCTCCAAATCCAACTCCCCTCCCACGTCTTCGTCGAACCCGCTCAGTCCTAACGAGATCCTCGAGAAGTACAACATCCAGAACCTGGCGCAACTCACTGCCAGTCTGAATTTTAACCCGGCGGTGTTGGCGCTGACCGCGCCGTCCAATCAGCTGGCCGTGTTTCAACACGCGATGCTGCTGAAGCATTTCGAGCTGCAGAACAGGCAGAGTTGGCTGGCGAGGAATCAGGGCCCGTTGCTGCAGTACGAGAAGTACCTGCAGAGTCTCAACGGCGCCCCAGGGCAGCAACTGATGGGGAACATCAAGGAGAATTGAGCGGCGACGACAAGCCGGAGTACAGGGTGTCTTTCGATTTGTTAATGGTCGTTATGGCGGCGGCGTCGCCTGACGAGCCGAAACGTCGCGATTTTTCCGGTCGATGGTGGTCGGGTCGATCGAACTACGGGGTGGTCCCTTGAAAATTTCGATATTACACGGCTCTGGAATGTCATTCAAAAAGAATTTGCCGCCGTGATTGCTTTCAATGTATACAGGGTATTCCTAACTGCAGTGTGCAAAACGTTAATAGCGTTTTGTGCGTCTAAAATAAGCGCCAATTCGTTTTCGAGATTCAGGGTGTGAAAGTTTGAAGAAAAAACGTTTTCTATCTTTATAAAATTTGATACTGTCGTAAGAAGCGTTTTTTGACGTAAAAGAGTTGTTAAAGTTTCTATCAGTGGCGTCTCGAATTTGCCGCCGTAATCTCTCTGCATGCAGGATGTCCGTAACTACAATATTCAAACTTGAACGTTGCGAATAAGCTTCAATTTCTTATATAAAGATATGTCAAGGACGACAAGTTTTAAAAGCTATAATTTTTACCGTATCCCCAAATGTCTTTATAAAATTTAACACGCACATTTCGAGCGTCAATAACATTGGACATACAGAGTTTTCAAAAAAGTAAAAACTATTACGGTTTTTAATTTGGTATTATGGAAAATGTCTTTTTTTTTCTTTTAAAATTTTATTAAATTAGGATCTATTTTGGACGTAACTGTTACATTTTGATGCGTTATCAAATTTTGATTTAGAATTTTAAAGTACCAATATTAATTTTTCTTTAGTTAATCAAAGGAGGGTGTTTTCTATACAGGGTGTTTCGTATTAAGATGGGATATTTTAAGAAAAAGAGGTTTTTTTTAATGTAGGTGCCAATATATGTATGGTATTAAAATTAAAAAAAAAAGATATTTCCTCATGTTCATTGAATCTGCCTTAGATATTTTCTTGAAATTTGTGTTTCTACATGCACCATTGGCATCGTACGCCACTAATTACGTTTTTAAAATCGCGACTCGTTTTTTAGCGGAAAAATTAAAAAGCAATAAAAATCTTATTTTATCATTAGAATTAAATGAATAACTAGTCATAAACAGTCAACTATAAAAATTAGGAAAACCCATTTTAAAAATTATTTTGAACATCCCGTATTTCAAAAATGAGGCGACTGCGAACCTACATCAGCAACTTATTATGAGACACCCTGTAAGATTCACTCACCAAGGAAGCCTAAACGCAATGACTTGATATTTTCTCTTACTTTACATACTTCGTCTAGCTATGCTAAATTTTCACGGAAAAATATCCTTGATCGAAAGTGTGGACCGCCACGAATTGGACAAATCGTTACTGATCGGCAATTTCTGTAACCAAGTATACGTCTGGCGACTCCGGATAGAAAATTATTGTTTAAGTGCGAAAACCGTTTTTCTAACATAATCTCAGGTTTGTACAAACTACTTAAAATAACGGCGTCATTCTAAGATAAACGTTCTGAGAATTGAGTGTTTCCCAAATAATCTGATCCGTATCGTCTCCATTATCCTTTCTTCGCTCCTTTGATCTCTAATTGGTGTGGACAATTTATTGCCTTGTTGTTTAAATGTCATTCATAAGATGTTTGCCACGTTGCGTTGTCCGGGTGTTTTTTATCGTCTTGGAAAATTGAGTCCGACCAGGATTTAAGAACCTCTGATTTATTTTAATAAATTTTCGACCTTGATGGCGATTTTAATGGCGCAAGAGTTGCAATTTTTTACGAAAACGACTATTTATTATGGTTACTTTTGTACGGCGAATGGGCAAATTTGCATGTTACTATGGGAGATTTGAGAACTTGAAGGTCGTGTTTTTTGAGTTACACGAAAAAAGATAATAACCCATTCTTTGTGTGGAATGGGTCTCGTAGGCTAAACGACATAAGCTACTGGATAAGAAAACTCCTGTGTTTTATGTATCGTCACACTACGCGTAGGTACTTTTGTTGAAGATATCCCCAAACAAATTGCAGACACCAAATCAAAAATATTCTTAACAAATGGGTGCTAAAACATCTACCTTATTACTAAACCTACGATTTTAAATACTAACGAGTTGTAATCCGAAGGAATTCATCATTTGACTGTAACAAATAATTTATTTTTTTCATGTAGAAACTCGTAATTGAAGTTAAATGTTTCAAGAATTTGATTTTGGCTAGATATTTTTTTCAAGAGCTTTCGTAATTCCTTACTAAGCTCGTCGGTTGCTGCCAAACACTTCTAGTATAGTAGAACCATCGATCTATTGAACTCTTTATTATCCATCAAGTACTTGTGTAGTCAATGTTAAAACATCACCGTTCTTGGAAATTTTTTAGCTGTTTTTCGGAGTCAGTTCATTAAGGGGTTCTGGAAACATGTTGTTCTTTAGTTAGCGCCTGTTGTTGACTTTAAATCAGGAGGCTTAAGGCATTTTAGCTTCGCGTAATTCAACTTAATTATCTAAAAACATTGAATTACGTTTGGTGGTTACCTTACTTGATGCGTTGTTGTGGAGTTGGGTGACGTCATTTGACCTATGAGGTATCGATATGTTTTCGATAAATATCTTCGTTTGTTTTTGGTTATATGAGGTACTGTTGTATATTGTTACTCACATAACAGTTTGGGTTATAACGAAGAAACCAACATAAAACATTGAAAATTTGTGATCGAGATCGAGACAAATATAGGAGATCTACAGAAACGTCCAAATTTGCTCAGGCACCCTGTACAATTCGCGCGGAAATCTGGGTGGTACACTTCTTCCTTACTGCACATATTTATGCACTTTTAGCGTCGGATTTGAATAGGAAATTTTCAAAATAACGTTAAAAATCGTTTAGACTAGTTTTTTAACAAATGACAGTTGAAACTTTCCCGCCCATAGTCATAACTCTTTTCCGACGGTGAAAGTACGAAGTGTTATTCACTCAAGTTCCCGTACCTTTTCGATCGTTCCACGACGGTTTGTTACTGTTTTAGTTTTTCCATTAAATTATTTGTTAATTTTAGGCATGTTTCCTTTTTTTTAACCGATTATGTATTATATTTTTGTAATTAAACCTCTAGCACCGTAAGGGAAATGTAAGATATTATTTTGCAAATTTAATTAAAAAAAAAGACGTTGAAAAATTAACCCCGGCCTTTTTTTATTCTCGACCCCGCAAAAATCATCCGACCGTTTTGGTTATTGCGATTTTCTATTCGAGTTACGACGGTTCGAGGAAAATCCCGAGTCAATCCACGAGAATATCTCGTAAGGGAAAGGTCAAACGAAAGTAATGCAGCCGCTCCCCAAATTCGGCGTCTGGCTTGGTTTCGATCACCTGTAGCTATGGCAACCGCGCGAAACCGCCCAGCCCGGCACGGGAGAAGGAAAATTCGGCTGAAAATTGGGAAAATCCTCTATACTCCGCTCGAGAAGAGCTCTGGAAAACTTTTAGAGTCGGAGTCTGTAAAAGCGGGCCGTTTAAATGCTTGTTTTGACTTCTAACAGGGGTGTGCCCAGGATATAAACTAGTCGGTGGCTTGAGAAATGAATAACTGTTTATTATAAGGTGCTTGTATCAAGCCCTTATGTTAGGGTAGACTGGGTACGGTTGAAACATCATAAATATTGAAAAATCACGCTTACACAAGGGCCTATTGTGTTTTGACAACGAAAAGTAAGTATTTATGATCAATTTCTTTGTTATACTTCCTGATTTGTATAATATTAGTTTCTTTGAGTATTTTAAAGCATAATTGTATTTTTTTAGAGATTATAATATGATGGTTCGTTTCAATGTAGGTTATTATTCCTCGTGTTTGTAACCAATATTTTCTAGAATCAGGGTGGGTACGGTTGTAACATTAATATTATAATATTCTTGCTTTGCAGATGCTTAGAAAACGGGTCAGAAAGACTTCAAGAGGTAAAAGCGTTTCTTATAAAGAAGTCAAAAAAGGAGGTTCTTTGAGGCTAGCTGCTGAAAAATCTGGCATAAACTATGTCTCTTTGTTGAGATTCAAACGAAAGAGCGAAGCTGTGAACGAAGAGAACCCTAACCAGGTAGAAGAGCACGTAACTCACCAAAAGATCAAGAGCGTGAATTGTCCAAATCCCTGGTTCGTTGTGCTGACATATATTTTCTTGTCTCGATAAAAGAAGTGAGAAAATTTGCATATGAACTTACCATCAAATGTAATTTGAAGACTCCGCCCACATGGATTGAAAATGAGGTGGCTGGAGAGGAGCGTTTCTGCACAAGCTACAAGTCTAACTAGAGCGACAGTTTCAATCGAATTAATGTCTATACGTTTTACGACAACCTTCAAATCGTTATGGACAGGGAACACTTCGAACCTCAGAACATTTATAATGTTGACGAAACTGGAGTTACTACACAGTGCAGAAGCCAGACAGAGTTGTAGCAAGACGTGACTCAAGGCAAGTGGGTGCATTTACCTCTGCTTTAGTCACACTAGCATTTGGAGCTAATGCTTTTGGCAACACAATTCCACCGATGTTTGTATTTCCTCGAATTAGATACCATGAGCATTCCATCAGAGATGGACTAGTAGGTTCAATTGGTACAGGTAATCCATCTGGGTGGATGCAAGATGAGCAGTTTATTGTGTTTCTCAAACATTTCAAAAAACACACGAATGCTTCTCAGACACATAAGGTCTTACTTGTATTAGACACTTATTCGTCCCATATACATATTCATTCTTTGAACTGTTGCAAAGAGAACGGAATAGTTTTACTTTCACTTCCACCCCACTGTTCGCACAAATTACAGTCATTGGATAGTTCTGTTTATGGGACTTTCAAAAAAGCAATAAACACTACTTGTGATGCCTGGATGCGAAATCATCCAGGTAAAACAATGACTATATATGAAATACCGAACATTATATTAGCTCTTGATTTCGCACCATCGTTCATAGAAGTTGCCGCTTCTAGTCATAATCGCGCAGTGCGTCAATCTGCACCTAAAAATAGAGCAATTGTTAACACTGAATCACCAGTGTCTTTTCAAAACGTTGCGATGCAAGCAGCAAGAACCCCGCCTAGACCTTTTGCTACAGAAATCAATCAAGACTTACAAGTTATGACACCAAATCTGGAATCAAGCGTCTGTCAGAATTAGAAACAATTCCGTCCACAAGTAGACAATCTTTATTTTCGCCTGAAGCATTACGGCCCTTCCTAAAAGCCCCTCCTAGGAAATTAGGAACAAGAGGTAGAAAAACAAAAAAATCTGGGATCTGCACAGATACTCCTGAAAAGGAAGCAGTAAGAAAAGAATACGAAGAACGACAGAAACGGTTGGAAAAAACACAAACGAAGAAAAAAGTATTTGAAGCATCCAATGGAAAGAAGAATATAGAAAAGGAGGTAGGTAAAGATATAGGGAAGAAAAAGAAGAACGCCATTATACCACCTGATTCAACATCAGATGAAGAATATTATTGTCCTGTTTGTCTAGAATCATATTCATCAAGTCGATCCCGAGAGAGCTGGATTCAATGTCATCCTGTACATTATGGTCTCACGAAGCTCGTTCGGATGGGAATAGATATTACATATGCCATAACTGCAGTGAGTCTGATTAAGATTAAGAAAAACATATTTTTGATGATTTTAGTTTTGAATTCAGGTTTTTCTCAGTACCAACATTGTTGGATGGTTTAGTGATACTGACTAGAAACATTGTAAAATATTTTATTTATTTCTGAGATTCATCTAGGTTTATTTCTAAAAAAACTCTAAGCATTGAGCCTGATTACGTTTAAGGAACAAACGATAATACTTTTAATTTTAAGTCGACTGAGACTCAGATTTTGTTGATATTTTTTTATTTTTGATGCTTGAAGAAGGTTTAAAGATTATTTTTATAGAAATATATTAGTTTGTTGAATATTAATAATTCAAGTTTAGCTCTAAGAACATTCTCAGACTGAAAATGTGCCTGACGTATTATGATACTATCTCATAATTAGTTAAAGTTGCAATATAGTTATTGTTTGAGTATTAAAACTGGCTTAGATACTCAAATTGTGTATTATTTCTGTATGTTACAACTGCCTCCATCACTGTTACAACCGCCCCTGGCATGACATTAAGTTTTAAACACTATGTCTGGAGAGTCTACCACATTGCATTAATGTGGCTCGATAGCAGCAATGATGTTAACTTTAAGGGTGTCAAACGGTTAATCGGCATATACACGAGATTTAAATCTCCTTAAGGGAAAATATCTAACGGAGTTAAGTCGCATGATCTGAGCAGTCAGGTGACGTCGCCATTTCGCGATATAACAGACCCCTCGAACTGCTAGCGCAATAATGTCGCTGTATTCATCCGTTGCTCCATCTTGAAACCACTTGTTTCTCAGGTTCATACTATAGATTACAAACATTTTCTTATCATTACTCTGCACCGCTCATACTTGACAGTAAATTTAAAAATTTATTTTTAAAACAAATAAGAAACGATTATTCCACCTGACACCACACCATACGTTTATTTTTTAGGAATGCGCCTCAAGTTCTGCAGTTTTGCTTATTATCATTGGTTTTGGTAATAAGTTTTGTCGATTTCGATATGTTGTTCAATTCTAAACCGCTATATATTAAGTGGCCACGCCAATTAAATACACACAGATAACGCGCGTGTGATTTTCAATCTTGCAGTGCAAACTTTACATAAATTCCCCATGCTTACCTCTAAAACATGTGGATCTTCATAAAAATTTACTTTGCTTATTTTTCCATTTGTATCTTCATTCTCGTTTTTTCTTGCATCCTTGACACTCCACGACTCCTTCTAAGATAAATCGATCTCTGTCGCTTCCAGTCACCTTTTGTTACATTGGGGGCTGGAGAGGGGCTTGAAAAACATTTAGAGTCTACATCTATGAAACCTAGTAGTAGAAATGCTTATTCTGACACCTCAG